TATCACGTTTATTGATTTCCGTATATTGTACCATTCTTGCATCCCTGGGATAAATCCTACTTGGTCATGGTGTATGATCTTTCTGATGTACTGCTGGATCCGATTTGCTAAGATTTTGTTGAGGATTTTGGCATCTATGTTCATGAGGGATATTGGCCTGTAATTCTCTTTCATTGTGTTGTCTTTACCTGGTTTTGGTATTAGGGTAATGCTGGCTTCATAGAATGAGCTTGGAAGTGTTCCTTCCTCTTGAATTTTTTGTAGTAGTCTGAGGAGGGTAGGTTTTAGTTCTTCCTTGAATGTTTGGTAAAACTCCCCTGTGAAGCCGTCTGGTCCTGGGCTTTTGTTTGCTGGAAGCTTTTTGATGACTGCTTCAATTTCTTCCATAGTTATTGGCCTATTGAGATTTTTAGATTCTTCCTGATTGAGTTTTGGAATGTTGTATTTTTCTAGGAATTTGTCCATTTCCTCCAGGTTGTCTATAAGACCTGAAGTAATATAGCACTATTCTTTCTACCAAACTTGACTGAGCTCTTTATTTCAACCTCTTATTGTACATGTAAAGTGGCTAATAGCAACTCTTACTAGCTTCCAGCACTGAGCAGAGGTGAGCCAGGGGATCAAAGAAAAAAAAATGTCTCAATGTAAGCATTTTAAAGATGTAATATTTGAAATTGTGAGGTTTATGAAAAAAATTTCACTTGTTCTCAATGAGAAGAACAATAAATTGCCATTTCTTGAGGACTGTTACTTTGAATTGTCCTTTCTCATTTTTCCTAATGCCTTTACTCAGTGAAATTAAAAGGATGGGAAACAAACACTGAGTATAGTTCACATCATTAGTGACCAATCCCATAGCAGGAGAGTGGAGGAGAGAAAATAGGACTTGCCTTTCTCATTCTGTGTACTGCCTTCCTTCTTTATAGCGAGTACATTCTAATTTTACAATGTAAAGAAAAGATCTAGTTAAGAAAAAAACAAACACCTAAGTTATTCCCCTGCCAAGAAATATTTACTTTTATCATCTCCTGAATTTACAGTTGGTTTTTCCCCTCAACATTTCATTATCAAAAACTTCAGACATACCAAAAGTTGAAATTTACAGTGAACACCGATAAACCAAGCACCTAAATTTTGAATTTTTCACATTTAACTCATTACTATATGAAGGGTTTATGGTGCCTGATAGATATGCTGAAGAAATGCAAGAATTTGAGGATCTAATTTTTTTTTTTTTTTTAATAATAATTTATTTATGTACGCTCAACCACTTCATTACTTGGTTGACGTCATTACTTTTCTCAGACACTCAACAGTCTATTCTATATAATAAAAGGCTAATATGCAAATAGACCAAACTGTGGAACAACTGAACAACCGGTCACTGTGATATGTGCTGACACATGCATGTGGAAAATGGCAGGCATTGGCAGCAGTCGGGCAGAGTACAGAACATGGTGGGTGTTGGCCACAGCGGGATGGTAGAGGTGAGCAGGGGCGCCAGACCAATGCGGGGTACTGGTCGCTGTCATTGAGGCGAGCCTCTGTGGTTACTGAAAATTCTTTGCTCCTGCATGCCACAATCCCGCCCAGCAGTTGCACCTGCTGCTGGTGCCGGTGCTGCTCGCACCCGCAGCTGGCACTAGAGCTGCTGTTCACACCCACTTCCAGCACCCAGCGAGAGTCCCGATTGCTCAGTGCCATCAGCAGGTACAAGTGGCAGCTCCTGGCCCTGATCGCCCATGAGGGCTTCTCCACACCCCCCCCCCCACTCCTAAGGGGCGATCGGGGCAGCAGCCACGGCTTGCACCCACTGACAGCGCCAGCCCTGCTTGCACCTGCTGCTGGTGCCGGCCCCAAACGCTCCACACTGTCAGCGGGTGCCAGCACCTTCAGTGGGTGGGAGCAGTGGCAGTGGAAGCGGGACTGCCGGCAGACAGGGGACCGGGGGACGCGGTGGAAGGGGCCAGGCAGGGGCATGGAGGATGGGCCGAGACCTGCCCATGTGCCCACTACAGCCTGCGGCCCACAGTTCCTTTTAAAGTGCATGAATTTGTGCACTGGACCCTTAGTCTAATATAATCATGTAACAAATGTGTCATTCAATTAACTCTAAGCTATAATGAAATAACCAGGCCATTAACCTTTTGCAAAGGAACTTCAGAACAACCTGCTATATTTTCTAGAATATCCTCATAGGCCTCTGAGAGCAAACTGGATTTTTGGAAATATCCCAAAGGCTCATTCAGATCCAAGTCTAAGAGATTGAAATGATCACTGAAAAAAAAACAAACAAACAAACAAACAAAAAAACAAGCAAAAAAAAGGGTTATAAATTAATGAGAATGATTTCCCTGGAAGATCCAACACAGGACTCACTTATAGTCAAATACTCTGAGTGTCAGCCCCACCAACAAGAACGTACCTTGTTCTGCTCATATGTCATTTTGTTTCCTAGGAAAAACCTTGAGAGAAGCTGAAGTATACATAACAATTTAGCCCAGCTGGCATGGCTCAGTTGTTGAGCGTCAACCTATGAACCAGGAGGTCACGGTTCGATTCCTGGTCAGGGCATATGCATGGGCCGTGGGCTCTATCCCCAGTGTGGGGTGTGCAGGAGGAAGCCGATGAATGATTCTCTCTCATCCTTGATGTTTCTATTTCTCTCTCCCTCTTCCTTCCTCTCTGAAATCAATAAAAATATATACTTTTAAAAAAGAATTTAATATCTGATAAAAATTGGTATCAAAAATAGAGAATTACTAAATATACAGTGATGGGAACATTGATTGACCATCTGGGAAAATGAGATCCTTGCTTTTTATGAGTACTTCTCAGATTTCAAGCAGAAAATCTTCAGAGGAAAAAAATGCCACATTACCTAAAGGTTAACTTAATATATTTTTATTTTCATATTTCTTATATGTATACCAACATAAAAATAGGAACTTTATGCTTATAGTTCTCACAAAACAATAAAAGCTAAAATATTTACAAATTAAAAACCCAAAAAATGCAAATTAACCACCTTAAACATTTATTTAACAAATAATGCTATTTTCCTAAAATAAAAGGATGTTTTACACAAAAGAAATAAATCACAAGTATTTGGTTTAATAGCAAAAATCTGTAGTTTCATACCCGACTCTATTTTTAGACTGCTGCTGAATGTTTTTACTTTAATAATAATGATGAGAACACTTGTTCACATAAGTATCTTGTTCAAACTGGTATTGATAAAGTTAAGCCTTTTTCTACCTCTTTCTGTGCTTTCTACTTAGAATAGAAAATTAACCAAACCTATCAAATGCCATTTTAGAAACGTGTGGATAGATTGAAAAAATTAACAATTGCGTTTACTGAAACCTGCATTAATTCCTATTGAATCAAAATACCTTTAGAATTTGGAAAACAAACATTCTTTACTATTTCTTTGCCATTATGCTTATTGCAAATGGACTATTGAGTTACTCTCTGTAGGAGCCTTAGAACTGTGAAGTACAGATCTCCTGTGAGTGAACATAAGATCCTATCAGGTATATCATGTGTACAGCAACAGCACACTCTCATTGGTCTCATTCTCATGTTCTCTGTGTTCTACAGTTTCAATAGTTTTGTTTTTTTTCACATCAGATTTTAATTTTGAATACTTAAAACTATTGGTGATGTGGTTGTCACTTTCTTCGTGTTTACTAAGAATGTGTGATAAGTGCTGCCAATCTTTGCACCCATTCTCATTCTTCAATTGATTTTTTCCTCCCTCAAAGAGTTTGCAAAATAGACAAAACACAGAATCTTTTGAGGTTGAATAAAGCAACCAGGATCTAGGGGTTTTTTCACCATTTGGAAGAATTCGTGTATAATAAGATTCTGAAAACTTCCTCCCTGTATTGTCTTTTGGAAAGTTAAAATTTCTTACTTGAGGGGGATCATTTTCTATAAGAAAGTTCCGTTGTTTAATATTTAAAAATCGGGGCCATGTGCCTGGATCTGCAGAAAGCACAACTGCTTGAGTGGAGTCTTCAGATTTTTTATCTTCCAGTTGCTCTTGAAATGTATTATCTATGATGGACACAGAAGCAGGTAAATTCATATCCTGTTTGGTTAGTGATGCATCTATCTTGCACTCTGCTGATACCTGTGGCTCTGAAGTCTTTTCCTTTTTTCTTGGTATTCCCTCTATTTTTTCCAAAAGTGTATTCAATGATCCATATAATTTCCTTTCATTTTCTTCTCTAATAGCACTTCTTTTTCTGTTTTCTGATATGGATATTTTCTTTGATTTTGCTTCCAACATCTAAGGAGAAACAGATTATATTTTTATCTTAGAATTAGTAACACTAAAAAAAAATAATGTATATACAAATACCCAGTAAGCAACCAAAAGATGTTCATCATTAGTCATTGAAGAAGAAATACAAATAAAAACCACCACATTCTACTTCACGCCAACTAGGATGATTACAATGAAAAGACAGGTGCTGGCAAGATGTTGAAAAACTGGAATCTTCCTATAGTGATGGAGGGAATGTAAAATGGTGTATCTGCTTGGAAAAACAGTCTGGAAATTACTCAAAATTAGAGTTATCATATAACCCAGCAATGCCAGAAAGAAAATATATGCCCACACAAAGACTTACACAAAATGTTCATAGCAATATTATTCATAATAGCCAAAAAGTAGAAATAATTCAAATGTCCATTACTGATGGATAAATTAAAATGTGGTATTATCCATACAATGGAACATTATCCTATATAATAAAAGGCTAATATGCAAATTGTCCCCTTCACCGGGAGTTTGACTGGGAATTCGACCAGGGGGTGGGGCCGGCCAGTCAACCTCCAGGCCAGCCCAGCCCAAATGGGGCCGATTGGGGCCAGCCGGATCCCACCCATGCATGAATTTGTGCACCGGGCCTCTAGTTTGACAATAAAAAGTGAAGCCAAGATACGTACTACAACATGGCTGAACCTTGAAAACAGATGATAAGTATGTGAAAGCCAGTCACAAAGTACCACATATTGTATGATTCCATTTAATAAAAAGACACATTACCTACTTTGGAGTCAATAAAATAAAAATGCAAAATAAAGAAGAAAAAGAACAAAGATGTATACAATGGGAATTGAAGGCTTGATAGCTATAATAGTTTTATATATGTCATAACTTGAACAATTTATACAATGGAGCTTAAGAAATCAAGAGTTGGTGTGTTCTCCCTCCCCAGAGCAGGCCCAAACCTGCCCCTTCTGTCTCTTATTTCCCCACAGGCATGTATCTCCTAAACTCTAAGAAATCCAATGAGACTGACAACAAGAGGAGCAATGGGAAGTGGCAGTTTGTCCTGGGCTAAACCCTTAAACCTGTCCCCAAGGCTCCCTTTTCCCTGACTTTTCGAGTGAGCTGACAATAGCCCCACCTTGGCTCACTTCTCTTTTTTTTCATATAGAATATACGTATTTGTTCCAACATCATTAATTGGAAAGAGTACTTATTCTTTGTTACCTTCTGCCTTTATCAAAAGTCTGGAAAAGAAAACCTGCACTCTTTTCTCTTTCCTTGACCTGTACTGTACTTTCTTTACCCTAAGCTTTGAAATAGGGTAGTTTCACCCAACTTTCTTCTTTTTTCAATTTTTTTCTTGTTATTTTTCTTTTTATAACCTTACTGTGTTTTAAAATCAATTTATCACTCTAACTGGTTTTTCTCAGTGGATAGAGCAACGGCCTGCAGACTAAAGGGTCCCAGGTTCGATTCCGGTGAAGGGCACATGCTCTGGTGGCAAGCTCGATCCCCAGTGCGGGAGCGTGCGGGAGGCAGCCAATCAATGATTCTCTCTTATCACTGACATTTCTCCCTCTCCCTTCCTCTCTGAAATAAAAAATATATATGTAAAAAAATCAGTTTCTCAATTAAACATCCTACTGGGCTTTTTTAAAAAAAATATTTTTTTGATTTTCTTTTTACAGGAAGGGAAACAGATAGAGAGTTAGAAACATCGATGAGAGAGAAACATCAATCAGTTGCTTCCTGTACACCCCTTACTGGGAATGTGCCCGCAACCAAGGTACATGTCCTTGACGGAAATTGAACCTGGGACCCTTCAGTCCACAGGCTGATGCTCTATCCACTGAGCAAACCGGTAAGGGCTGGACTTTTAAAAAAATCTTCACCCAAGGAGTGAGGATATTTTTTCCATTGCTTTTAGACAGAGTGAAAGGAAGGGAGGAGAGAGAGAGAGAGAGAGAGAGAGAGAGAGAGAGAGGGAGAAAGAAAGAAACATTCATATGACATCTATTGATTGCCTCCCACAAGCACTCCAGAGGGTGTTGGGGGGAGGGGGGGGAAGGTGGGGATTGGACCTACAATCCTCCCATGTGCAGGCTGACACTAACCACTGAACTGGGTGGCCTGGGCTCTCCTAGTTCTTTCATATGAGGGTTGTTTCTTTGTCTCCTCATTTCGTAGTCTGTTTGTGTTTGTGACTATGTTTTAGGTAGATCCTCTACACCTCTCAATCTCTAGTGCAGGACAGTGTTAAAGGCTGTTTCTGACTAATTGGATCAGGCAAAGACTCAAAGCCTCCAAAGACTGCCTCTGTCTACAGACTAATAGGATTCTGACTTGAAATGTCCCCAGTTAATTGTCCTCAGGTGTGGGGAGAGTTTTTTCAAAAGGGTGGGGCAGTTGCTTCTCCCTGGAGGCTAATTGTTACTTTAA